GTTTAAAAATTACTTTGTCATTTTAAATGCCTGTTTTGGTTACTACTCTCAGTCTCCTGTATTATGAATAGAAAATATGAACAAGGCGAACACAATTCAAACCAATGCAAATTGAAGTTTGTTAAAAATTATAAGAATATCTTCAAATCATATGGTTAGAAGCTAAAAACTTACCTACGTTAAAACTTAATTTTACTAAAGAGACAATGTAATGGAATATACCCACCGCCATCAGGTTGATTCTGATGTATAACAAACCTATATAGAGTTTCTAAGGCTGTAAATCTTTACAGGGACAGATAACCTCAACTACTTCCTGGGTAACAAGTGGTGGGTTTGAACTACCAACCTCGTGGCAGTTAGCAGTCCATTGTTTGCCCAAAAGCACCAGTAGAGATCCTAAACTGACTATTTAAAAATGTTAAAATAAATCACTGCCATGGAGTTGATTCTGATTTATAGTGACCCCATAAGACAGAATAGAACGGCCCTTGTGTTTTTCCAAGACTAGCAATCTTTGCAGGCATAGAAAGCCTGCTCTTTCTTGCAAAGAGAGGCTGGTGGTTTCTTTGGGTTAGCAGCCCAACATTCCTTATTGAGTAAAACCAAAACATTAAACGCACTGCCATCGCCTCCATTCTGATGCATAGCAACCCTATGGGGCACAGTAGAACTGCCCCTGCTTGTTTCAGAGACAAATAACTGCAAGAGTAGAAAGCCTCACCTTTCTCCAGCAGAGCGGCTGGTGGTTTCTAACTGCTGATCTTCCAGTTAGCAGCTCAACCCATAGCCACTACCCTACCAGCCCTCCTTTATTGAGTATAGAGTCGTATCAAAGTACATGTAAATGTATGTGCATATATAACTACATATGTCCATGTAATTGTTTCTTATGTCAGATGGGCATCTTAACCTATAATATCTCATGTCCTGAATATGTTGTTGTTGTTGTTGTTGTTGTTGTTGTTGTTTTAGGGGCTGTCAAGATGGATCTGATTCAACGTGACCCTAGGTACAACACAGGAAACACCACCTGAACCTCCATCCCTCTCAAAGTTGTCCTTATGTCTGAGCCCATTGTTTCAGCCACCGTGTCGGTCCATCTTGTGAGGGCCTCCCTCTTTTTTGCTGCCCCCTTGCTTTACCAAGCATAGGATCCTTCTCTAGGGACTGGCCTCTTCTGATAACAGGACCAAAGTACATGAGACAAAGTCTCTCTATCTTTGTTTTCTAAGCATACGGAAGGTGAAAAACGTAATGTTCTCGCAATGATTTTTGCAAGTTTCCAAGGACTGGAGTCCGTCAATCTGCTTCTTGTCTGGACTTTTTTCAGTTCAAATGTCAACTCACAATCGCCCACTTGTGTGGTCCCTGTTCTGTGTCAACTCTGGGATGGACTAAGCCCTTTCCCTTAATTTCTATCAAAATAAAATAAACTAGTCAAACAACCAAAAGCCAATAAACACAAAAGCCACTTTCACACAAAGTAACTAAGTACATGGGAGTCTGTGGCTCCAAGCCAAGAACTAAGAACTAAGTGAAAAATAGCTATTCCTGGTCTAAAATAGTTGCCGGTTATTTCCGAAAGTGGGAGGTCTAACTTCCTGCCACCTCCCTCCTTTCTCTTATACCCTGATCGTTTCTGCTTTCTCCGTGGAGGCTCTTTACATCGCCAGAAGTTTGACCGACACGTTTTAGGAGTTTGGCTCACGTTCTCAGGATTACATTTCCCACCTCAAATTGCTAATCGAACTATTTATCTCAAACAAACCTTCCTTCTTAAGAGGTAATCTGGAGCCAGCTGACAGATAATGCATCTTTATACCTTTTGCACTATAGTTAGCCAAGACAGCAATGAATGAATGAATGAATGAGGGGAGGGAGTTTTTTCAGGTATTTCCACCCTGTTAAAAAAAATTAACTGAATACTATATCAAGAAAACTACTGAAGAAGAAAGATACCACACGGGACCAATGGTTACCATGGGTGAAGGAGAAAGAGCTATTGTTTAAGGGACATTGAGTTTATGTTAGCAGTGGTGGAATAATTTGGAAAAGGATATCAATAATGGCTGTACAACATGAATAGTATAATCAGTGGAACTGAATTATACATGTAGTGTTGTAGAATTGGAGAATGTTTTGCTGTGTATATTTTTGCCACAATTAGAAAAAAAATTACATGAATAACAATGAGTCCAAGGAAGAAGATGTTCTAGAATTGAATGAGGTGATAATTGTACAACTCTCTTTAATATGATTGAATTATTGAAACATATGACATGTAGATTAAGTGCTCATTAAACTGTTTAAAAAATAATTCACAATCATTCAATATTATTTAATAAATTACTCTTATATATGACTTGTAAGTTGATTCAGGTCTAAAACCTTCATTAAACCCTGTTGGAAATAATGGTGCCATTTGCAGTCTTATTGGACGTACAATAATGCACACGAACTCTGAATCTTAGTTTCCTAACCGTCAGCCGTTGGCTTAGCGGTGGTTGAAACTATCGTCACAGAGGGGAGGACTTGAGGAAGTAAGGACCTCGTGCACGTGTTGTGCAGTGTACACCACACGCTGTCAGGGAACTTCGGAAAGGAAGGCTTGGCTCTGCCTTTCATCAAAAAGGTGCTCCCTTATTGATTCACGCTCCTCCACGAAGAGCAGGCCTTTAGAGTGGAAGAAAAGTAATGAATGTAGCTTCAGTCCTTTCTCAGGAGCAGGCTGGTACTGCCACCTGCGGGAGATGCCTTCTCCTCCCTGCAGGGCAGCCCAATGGGCTTGTTGGATGACCGAATCCGGTTGCTGTTTTCCTTGTCGCTTCCACACAGGAAGAAGAGTTTTAAACTCCCTGTCCGTGAAATCATAAATCATTCCAGATGACGATTAATTCCCTTCACGCTGGAATACACACTTCACAGACTTCTGCGCGCTGCAGGATAAGATGAACCAGAAGGTAGCCCTACTAAGAATTCCTCATCTCATACACTGGAAAAGTATTTCGGAAACTGCATTCTATACTAGGAAGTAGGGAAAAATCAAATTTAGCTTTCAATGCTATGGCAGAATGAAACCCTAATTCTAAAAGCAAAAATTATTTGGCTTTAATTTGGAGTTCACTGTTGACGTTTTCATAAATAGGCTATCATTAATTGATATGGTAAATGAATGTGTTTATTATATAAGCATGTTAGTGATATCATCAATTAGGATAAAACAGTACCCTTCAATTGTACAGGTATCACTAAAACATCATTTTTTTTTAAATCTTTGAGCTAAAAAAATAATGGTATGAAATTACTTTCTAATCATTGGACATAGTTATTTCATTACATTTTCAAGAACAGATATAAAAAATGTGACCAGGGAAAAAGAATGTCTAGTCTCTAGTTCGGTCAGACCTACCTTTTTTATGCTATCAACAAATTGTTACTGATTAACAAGGCCATATAGTAAAGTTTTTCACTTCAGAAAAGAGAAGTTTCCGGAAGTACCTATGGAAATTGCAAGTTTATCAGGGGACATGGAAGAGTGGGTGCTGATTAGAGGAAGACAGTCATTGGTAAAGAGAATGCCTGGTCACAGATTAACTAAATAAAACACAGACAGTGTCAGTCGCAGAGTGGTACAATAGCTCTCTCAGAAGGTAAAGGTCACCTCAAAGAACAACTACACCAGCTAGAACGACGTCTTCGTAGAGAAAGCGTTTTCTAAAGACAGGAAAAGGTATGTGACTTACACTGAAGGGATTGGGATTGAATGCTCAGTTTTCAAAGATATTATGCATCTGATTCAAGAGTAAAACGAAATCAATAAACCAGCACTGGGGTGCAGCCAACAGCTGACTGAGCTGAATGCTCTGAATGCTTGAAGGATGTAAACCAGACTATATTTGCATGGGGTGATCGTGGTAGCAACTGGAGAGATTGGGATGAAATGAATTATCGGATTAGAGTGGTCTAAGGTACGTAAAACTACCTAATAGGGGAATTATAGCATATAGGCAAAACTAATAACTATACAAACCTAAAATGTCTTATTACTGGATATGCACCTTGAGCATGTTTGGTAATTGGCTGGTGGAAAAGCCCTATCAATTTAATCAAAGAATTGACAGCCTTATAATGCTACAAGGGGTTTTTGCTCTGTTCAAAAGGTTAGCTATCCAAGTAGCAGAAAGAGAATAGAACCCCCCAGGATTTTATTACCTTCTAACAATGTTTAAAATGTACTGGGTTTTACTTTCTTTATTAAAGAGTCAACACTTTATAATGATGGACTAAGGAGATGATTTATTAATTATTTCATAATAGAAATTACAAGTTGTTCTCATTTTCATCAGAATGTTGCCTGGTTGTAAAAAGAAAAGGAAAAAGAACCTTGAGTAAAACAGAAACAGAAGGCTTCTTTAACATAACTTATGTTTCATAGAAGGGAAACATTCAAGAAGCTGGGAAAGATGATGTTTTGCAGATGCCACTTGTGTATTAATAGGGTGGAGTGGGCACAGTGGTTGGTAATTTTTTTAAGGCAGCAGGACTGTTTCTTCCACTCTTCTGTTCATACTCCTCTTTTAAAAGTGAAGAATTTTCAAATACTGCTGCTAGCTATATTCCTGAGCTCGGGAGTCTCAGCACCCATTTATAAACGAGCTAATTGACCACATGGATAAGTTCGCATTTTCCTCCTTTAAAGGGTTTACATGGAACATTACAGGTTCCCACAGGAAACAATTCCATTTTTATTTTTCTCATTTTCCTGCAATCATTGATTCTTCTCCCCTTCTGAATCTGTATGTGACTTTTCTCTTCCTGCTCAATATCAACTGCTAATATTATTTCTATCTCATTGTTACTGGGGTGTCTCTACCCCCTCCGTATTTTTAGTCACCCTGAATGATGGGAAAGCAAAGCAAAGGTGGGGAGGCAAGAAACTTCACATGGATGAATGTAGAAGTCTGACTGCTTATGCTATGCCTTTGTTATCCACAGCCATGACAGATCCCAACAAAATGATCATCAACTTGGCCCTTTTTGGTATGACTCAGAGTGGGAAAAGTTCTGCTGGGAACATTCTTCTGGGAAGCCAAGACTTCCACAGTAGCTTTGCTCCATGTTCTGTGACCCAAGAGTGTAGCCTGGGCCGAAGTTGTCACCTTCCCAGCTTCATGCGCAGAGAGGGTCAAGAGATAACCCTGCAGGTGCAGGTCTTAGACACTCCAGGCTATCCACACAGCAGTCTGAGCAAGAAATGTGTGATCCAGAAGGTCAAAGAGGCCCTGGCGCATCACTTCGGGCAAGATGGTCTCCACCTTGCACTACTGTTACAGAGGGCAGACATGCCTCTGTGTGGAGAGGAAGTATTGCCTTCCGTCCAGATGATCCAGGTAATTCAAAGAGATAAAACCACTAATGCCAGTATTCATATTTGGTGGACATTATCTTGATCACTGCTGTTGAGTGGGTCCTGACTCATCCTCCTGTGCCATCCTCCTGGGAGCTGGTGTGTTTGCTCCGATCAATAGTCCTTAATGTGTCAATGCAACCCATTGAAGAGTTCCCACGTTTTTGCTGATTTTTCTGGAGTGCCAAACATGATGTCCTTGCCTAGCAATTGGTATTTTCTGATGATGTGCCTGAAGTAAGCAAGTGAAAGTCTCATTAAAATAATAGTTTAAAGCACACCATGTTGAGCACACAGAAATAATGTAAATTTTCATGACTGTCCCAAGAATAGGTGCTACAATTTCCTTTAGAGGATTTAGTCAGCTGCTTTGAAACTGAATAACATTAAGAGAGAGAGAGAGAGAAGCACAACTTTTCAGAGGTTCCATAAGTCTCAAGCGCTCAAGAACTGAAAACTGAATATGTTTGTAAATTGTGGGCCCCAGAGAATCTGTATCAGAATTACCTGGGACACTTATTTAAAAATTAACTCAATTGGGATCTATTAAAGGAGCAGCCCTAGCATCTTTGATATCTGCATTTTAATAAATCTTTCAGATGATTGTTAAAGACAGTAAAATTTTAGAAGTATGAACTCGAAATAGAGAGTTGCACTCCCTATCAAGTTTCAAGATAGGAAATCTCTTAGGGTTCACCAAACTGGTGTTCATTCACTGACTCTGTCAGTGAGAAATGCGTTTGAACATTTACCCAGAGCTTACTGATTGGTGGATAAGACATGGGCCCTGCCTTCGTCCATCAATCTTTCAACCTGGGCGCTCATCCTCCAGCACTATAGCGGACACTATCCCGTTGGGATTCATAGGTTTCACTGGCTAATTTTTGAAAGTAGTAGTGGTAGTCTCATCTAAGTCTACACTGAAACCCATCCACCATGGGCGACCCTGCTGGTATGTGAAACACCACTAGCATAGCTTCCAGCCTAACAGCAACATACAAGTCATCAAAGTAGGACAAACTCAGATGACTGGGAGATATAGATGTGGGGTGGAGGATTTCAAAAAGTTCATGGAAAGCCAAAATGGACAAATAATGGGATTTTTCCACAAAGATTTTGAAGGCCATCTATATGTGATCCAGCTGCTTCTCTGACATCTATTTGGAGCTCTCCACATAAATTTCATGGGCAGCACATTTTCATTCACTCAGTCTTTGTGTACATCCTACTTACTTTTGGTCTAATTTCAGACTGTAGAACCTGGTACACCCCAAAAGATAGCATAGCTAGTTTTAAAGAAGTATTGTCCCCCTTTAATATGCAGTGGCATAAAATTATTCTAAACGAAAGATGCACATTTTGTTTTTCATTTTGGGCATGTTTCTAAAAACAAAACCAAATGACATGTGTGTAATCACAAGAAACCAGTGGAAAAAATTAGGATGACAAGAGTATAAAAAATAACCCTCATCATCCAACTCCTGAAAAAGCAAAGACATTCTGTACAAAAGTAAAGGAGAACATGATTGCAATTAAGAAACAATGTGCAATCTAAAAAGGCTACAAACCTCTCCCAAATTACTAAATGGTGCACTCAAAAACCAAAGGGGAGAAACCTACATCTATTCCATAAAAGTAGTTTTTAAACATTGGTTTTGAGTTATCAAGTACGTAATTGGCTTCGCATGTTGTTGGTGTGTGGCAATGGGTCAATTTTGACTCCTAGCAAACCCCCCACCCCACCAAGCCAGAGGAGAAATGTCCCATAGCAGAGTGCTCCATCTCTTTCCTGCTGAGCACTGGAGGGTGCGAATTGCTGACATCACTTTGCAGCTGAGTTCTTTAACCTTTGTCAACCAGACGTCCTTAGCTGTGTTACAAATGGATGTAATTCAGTCAATGAAAATGCAGTTGTTTTAAATAAGTAATTTCAAAATATATTATTCTAGTTTTAGGATAGAGAACAATATTGAGAAAAATACACACACACACCCTTTTGTGTGTAAGTGAATCTGATTCATACATTTCTCTGGTCTTTTCAAACAGTATCTGGCATACAGCCTTTCCTCTTAGCAGCTGCCTTTCTTAATTCAGTGTCCAATTCAGGAGTTGATGGCAAACGAGGAGATGGACTAAAGCAAACTCAGATCCAGAATAATTTTCCAGAATAAAAAAAACTTCTTTCTCCCAGGAGAACTCAGTAGTCAGGTGTTAGTAACCCTACGAGTTTCCTACAGCCCCTGAGAGGCACTGCAGACCTATTCTGGGCTTCCATCCTTGTCTTTGGTTGAAGGTTGTCTAAGTACGGGCTGGCTGTTTATGATGCTCTTCCTGAAGGTGCCTCCGGTACTGGTGGCAGCCATCTGGATGTGCTCAGAGAGCGGGAGCAGCTGCCGAACGTCTGAATATTCAACAGCAACAGCAGCTGTTAGGAAGGATCAAGGAGTCATTAAGGTCTTCTAGTTCCAGACTCACTATGGATTTCTTTTTCTTCCTGACTGAAGTTAAATGGCAAATGAAGTGTCTGCCTAGCCCCCTTTCCTATCTTCTTCTTCCACTTTTTTTGGGGGATGGGGGATGTCTCCATGCCTACTTTGGAAGGAGTCTACAAGACTAATATCAGAGAAATAACTTCTTCTTTCGTGAAACTCCCTACTTTCTCTTTCAGTATTTCTCCCAATTCGTGCTTTAATATTTTGCACAAGGGTTGGAGGCTGCTAGCAGTCACAAGTGAAATATTTGCCCCACCTCCGATATACCTTTTTCCTTGATTTATGTTAGGTCATCATCTTTCCTTTATTTATGTTAGGTAATCATTAATGCGCAGTAAAACGATGCAGGCAGCAGTGAGTCCTCTCCCCTAAACTGGGAAACACAAGGAATGATTCCACTGAATTTTCATTTGAATCTATATATCTTCTTAAATCACAAATAATGATCAGAGCCAACATTACTAAAGTCCCTTCGAAGGAAGCGCTCATAGGCAGTGACTCTATTATAGGACTGAACTCAGGAATCGACTGATGTCCGCATTATTTCTTCCCTCATGAGATCAGCTATTATTATAATGTATAAGCAGGCTTCACACATGTATTATTTTTGTTTCATAAACTACAACTCAGCTGTTAATGTTGTGGGTGAGTTTGTATTCAAAAGACTCAGAGGGGCCAAGGCAGGCCCTGAGAAAGCACACAAAGCACACAGACTTAGTTGTCTGATGGCACCTCGTTGTAAGTGAACCTTGCTACTTTCCGAGGCTATGACTATAAATGGATAGTACAACTCACTCGTAATAGGGGGACACTTTTACCTATGTGCTATGGGAGCCCTGGTGACGTCATGAATTGGGCTGCTAACTAGGTCAGCAATTTGAGACCACCAGCTGCTCCGCAGGAGAGAGACAGACTCTCTACTCCTGTAAGGAGTTACAGTCTAGGAATCCCACAGGGCCATGCTACCCTGTCCTCTGGGGTTGCTGTAAGCAAGAACCAATGGCATTGAATTTGGGGGGTTGGGTTTTTTTCTCTCTCTTTTTTTTTTTTCTTGTGAAAGAGTTCTGTCATGTGTATTAAATATAAAGTTCCTGGAATTCTTCATGACTTAGAGTAAGTTCATGAAAAAACAATGTATTATTACTATGAGGGGGTATGCACCCAAAAATTGATTTTTTTCAAAGCTATGTATTTAATTTTTTTTAACAAAACAACCTTATCACCTTCAAAGTACTCTCCATTACACTTAATGCATTTATAAAATATGCTATTCCATTCTTGGAAACATTTTTCAAGCTAATTTGTTTGGATGGCTGACAGTACCTCCCTCATTTTTTTTTCTTCATTTCTTCTACATCATCAAATCACTGTCCTTTCATGTCCTTCTTCATTCAAGGAAACAAAAAGAAGTTGAATGGAGTGACGTCAGGTGAGTTAGGTGTGTGGGGCAAGAGAGGCACATTGGTTTTTTTGCAAAAAAAATGGTGCACTGAAATGTCTGCATGAGCAGGTGCATTGTTGTGGTGGCAAAACCAGTTCCCTGTCTGCCACAAATCGGGATTTTTTTGTTGGACACTGTTATGAAATCTTTTCAGAACTTCTAAATAGAAAGCTTGATGAACAGTCTGACCTGGTGCAAGCAACTCCAAATGCACTACGAGTCAACATTTTCATCTGTTTAGGAAGTTAATGGATATGCAGAACTGAGGTTTGTCATCAATTGACATTTCACCTTTTTTGAAAGGAGAAACCCACTCATACAATTGAGTTTTTCCCATAGTGCTGTCCCTAGAAGCTGTGTTCACCATCACAATAATTTCTGTGTCATTTTTCACAAGCAGGAAACAAAATTTCACAGCTGTACTCTGTTCTCCTAAATTGGCTATCACCAAAAAAATGACATTCAAGCGAAACTGCTTTTATGAAAAAAAAATTTCATTTTGACCATTGAGAACCTTCCCAGGTGACGCCACTGGGTGCCCTAATTGCTGGATGCCCACCTACAAGGAAAAATGTGTATTACAAAAGCTCCGCCCCACAGAGCCTTTTCTGTTTTGTTTTATTTTGTTTTGTTTGTTGGGAAATACCCCCTTATATTACAATTGTTGTTTTATTGCTATTGTTCCCACCCAGATTATGATTAGTTTTTATTCATGCTGAACTTCTAGATATGTGCAATGCATTATACAAATCAAGGGCATGACTTCTTCAGTAAATTATATCTGTGGTCAACTTTTATTTACCTACTCATTTGCTTGGTGATTTTGATTAACTTATCAATTTCTTTAATCCGCAGTCCCTTCATTGGTAATCTGGGAATGATGATCTTGTCTATGTCATTGGGGGTCACTTTTGGAATTATCACCACATTAGCATAACAGTACATTGTTTAGTCAAGATATTGGTGTCTGGTAGGTGCAGCAAATTCATTAATATTTCATTAATTAATATTCAATAATATTCATGGTTATTTTATGGTTAGTCATTTTAT